AATAAAGTACTTAAAACATGAATTCTGACAGCTCTTAAGTTTTATAATATCCCTCTACCTGCCTTTAAAAAAAAAAATAAAAAGGCTTAATTTCACTTCTCATCTGTAGCAGGATCCATTGAAGTATAAAGGAAGCAATGAAACTGCAAAAAGTATTGACCAACATTTTGAAAATCTACATTTTTCCCCTTTAAATTAAAAGATGTTAAGCCATTTCCATTGTGATTTTTACATTGGCTATTAAATCAGACAGAAAACATTCAAAGAGGAAAGCATCGGTCCCAATTTTCTGCTTACAGCAAACACTGGGCAGGAGATACGGATCTGAGGTCCTTTGTCACAGAAAAGTTTTATTATCAGTGATTGAAACCTGTTATCAAATCAACACAAACAATGCCTGGCTTAAACAGGCTAGCAAAAATTGACAGAAAATGATAGCAGGGTAGCAGCTCCAGTAAAATCAAATCAGATCATCATGAAAAGCAGTGAAGCGTGTTTCTCCTAATGCGGGTCAGTTTGCAGTCTGGCCATCTTCATTAGATAACAAGCTGTATTTTAACCGAATGAACACAAGTACAAACAGTTATCTACCTCGGTGAAGCATGGCACTCACACAGTTTTTGCTGGTTGTAAAACATCTATTGTGTTAAGAGAAGCCACAGATGCTCCGAATATTCTTCTGCCTCAGAACACTACTTGACCTTATTTAGGATCTCTGTGTATGAACAGCAGTAACTGGAAAGGAAGATGGAGATTTTTTTTTTTTTTATTAGTAACACTGGTTGCCCATCTTGCAGCTCTTGGAAAAAATGCAATTATCTTCTAGCACACAGGGTGTCTTTTAGCCACTTTTGCAGCTGTTTCATTAGCCACAGCCTTTACAGAGAGCAAAGACTAAAACGCACAGGAAACTTACTGAATCCCAGATAAGGATAAAATTCCATAGGCGATTTTTTGAAAACCTAACTAAAATTCACAAATGTTCACAACAAACATAAGACTAAGTTTCTATTTAATCCCTTTAAAGCAAAGGAGTCCAAAAGCATTAATGTACTAGGATGTGTCTACTCCTGACACTGACTTGTCAAAGCTTACCGAAAGCCTTTAATTTTCTGTCTCAGAGGCACTGTAACAAATATGTTCACAGAAATAACACTTGCTATAATGTTAGGAACGTGATTAACAAAAGAAACATTTGGCACCTATATTGGAAATGTCTCCTGTTCAGGTGACTTTGCCAGGACTCAGAACAGAAAAAAAAAAAAAAAATTAACTACTCTCATCTGGTCTTTTAGCACCAGCAAAATATAGGTAAAAAAAAAAGACTCAATACATCTAGTTTCACTCAAATAGCAGCACATGAGCAGGGAGCACTCAACTAGAATTTCAAAGTCACTTTACAAATCTAGTATCAACAGCTGCTACAGGACAATGTTCTTTTTCCTCCATATAGGAAACTAATGACATGAAAATTAATTTCGTACAGGAACATACCAGAATAATACGGACAAGTTAATTTCTTCTGATTGCAACAGATTCTGATTGCAAATAGATTTGATAGTGACCTGCATACTTTCTTCCTTAAGAGACACATTTTCTATAAACAGAAAGAACCCACATCACCCTTTCATCCCTCTGCCTATTGCAGTCTTCTCACAGCATGCTATGCCTCATTCAAGTCACTGACAATATCAGCTCCATTTTTTCCCCTCAACATTTGTTCTCAAGCCTGTTACAAGCTGCTTCCTAGACAAAATCACCTCATCGCCCAGGTGATGCCAAATTTTACCATCTTTCATCTGGATCACAGTTGTTAACTTTTCCTGTGGTGCCAAGACACTAGTCTCTGCTCCTCCAAACAGACTGCTTCCTTGGTAACCTTTCTTTGATCCACTGTAGCTCGTCTTTTGCCTTCTAGACAACAATCTCCTTCAGAGAGGAGTCACCATTCTCTGGCTGTGCTTTATATATCTCACTGAATAGAAGGAGAACCTCAGCAAGAAGTTGGACTATTTGATACAGTTTCAATTAAGTCAAGCCCTGAGGCTTCTGCACAGCTTTTGAACTATTTCACAGGAAGACTTCATTTACTAGTCCAGCTATACAATTTTGAGTCCCTCCTACAAAAAAATCCAAGTGTTTTCCATGGTAATTATATCCCTTGTAAAAAACAGACAATTCAAACAAGTCCTAGCCATTCAAAATCGTAAAGAGTTAATCAAAGTCTTTCCATGTATATCAATTTGAGATCACTCATCAACAGTTTAACTTAGATGGTCCTTCTCCAAAAATCCTTCACATTCTGTTTGGGCTTCAGACTGGTCAAAGAGATAAAATACTAGAGATATTGAAATACAAGGACCAGGCCAAAGTCTAAAAGCAGGCAACAGTGACAAGAACTACTACCTATAGATGATGGGATGTGCCAAGATCAGCAGG